AGGTTCGTAAGTGCATGCGTAACTGCTTCGTGAATCTGGCCCCTGGTGAACTTGTCAATCTCTCAATGGTTGCTTGGAGGTTATTAGGCAAAAATCACTCTCATAGCGGCTCAATCTTCGCTATGATACCAGACACAGTTGATCTACCCCCTCCATTATTTAAGATTGCACGATATAATGCACTCGTGGGGGCTTCACCACAGGAGGGTTGCATACTGGGTGAGTGCAACAAGCAACATTAAACTGGTGAGGCAAATCACTTCCTAACGAACCACTTGACGTTATGTTTGATAACATAAAAGATTGAAAATTATTAACGTGATGTTGACATCACGTTTTATATTTTATATATATTTCCAAAGCTATATTAAAAAACACAGAAGACAGATCTTGAAATTTATGAGAAAACAGGCATTCAGAGCCTTCAAATGCAATTGTCGAGCATCTTTGATCCAGTTGCTGATCAATTTTCTATACGATTTACTAAATTCAGGTCATTTGAAGCCGCTGCAAAATTGATGAAGTGTGCAGACACTAACATTAGGCAAACTGAATTTGGAAATGTTGCAGTGGACAGATTTTAATAATTTTCAGATGCAAGTGACTTACAAACCAGCTTAATTTGGAAGCAAAAAATGTGTTGGCTTTGTTGAAGAAATCAGAGACAGGATAAACGCAGAAAACTGCGCGGAAAATTAGGTTCTGAAACTCCGGAAATCTATTCCTGAATCTTTTTGAGAGCCTGAAAAATTTGACAATGACAGCACTATCAGTGTTTTCATCGGCATGCTCATGCGAGTCATTGTTTTATGTGATGAACGTTGTCAAGTCTAGTTTGAGGAGTAGACTTTCTGATGACACGGCTCATGCATGATGCATACATAGCTTTCAAAACACCGCAATACAAACGTCATATATTTTATATATGACGTTTTATATATTTTTATATAAATAATATATATATATATATATATATATATATATATATATATATATATATATATATATATATATATATATATATATATATATATATATTTATTGTTGGTGCTGCAGCAAAAGTCTCCTCACCGAGAGTAAAATTACCTTATTTTCCTTTCATGTTTTAGGATTTATACCTGCAACATACCTGGAGAGGGTTTCGGGAGTTCTTCTACTCCTTGAGCCCGGCCTTGGGCCAGGCTCGACTTCTGAGACCTTGGTCCAACAGGCTGTTGTTGCTTGGAGCGGCCCACACGCCCACATATCCACTACAGCCTGGTTAGTCCGGCATGTCTTGCAAGAACTCGTCTAAGTGTATCTTGAAGACATCCACCTATGTTCCGGCAATATTTCTAATGTTTTGAACAGCTGTGGACCTCAGATGTGCATACAGTGTTCTCTGATTGTGTCTATGGCACCACTGATCTTCACTGGTTCTATTCTGCATTTCCTTCCGTATCTTTCGCTCCAGTATGTTGGTATTCTACGGTGCCAATTTGTGACCTGGCCTTCATGTATTTTTCACTTATATATTATTTGATACCTTTCTCGTCTCCTTTCCAGAGAGTACATTTTGAGAACTTTGAGAAGATCCCAATATTATAGATGTTTTATCGTTTCTATGCGTGCCGTATATGTTCTCTGTATTCCCTCTAATTTAGAGATTTCTCCTGCTCAGAAAGGGGAAGTGAGTACCGAGCAATTCTCAAGACGGGACAGCACCAGTAATATAAATAGTATTAGCATTGATGTGGGGTCCCTGGATTTGAAAGTTTTCTTTATCCATCCTGTCATTTTACATGTTGCTTCACTTCCATTAGTAAGCCCGATTGTGTCCTGTATTTCGTTTAACGGTGATAAGTACCTGGAACGTATTACCGCTAAACATGTTATTTATATGGCCAGTTTGCTAACTGTAGATAGTAAATGGGTGATTGTAACCTATCCACCGCTGCCCCCTGGATGGGGGGCGGTGTGCAGGACAAACATATCAATTGTGACACTAGCTCTCCACATATGTCAGTTGCTTAATTTAGAAACTGTACTTGTGGTCGGTCTCGAGCCCATTGATGATTGCACTTTGATGCACTTTGATTGATTGATGATGATGATATTGTAATTAACTCATCAAGAGTAACTTCCTAAGCTAAATCAATTTAGGGGTTCAGTCTCTGAGTCCTCAGAAGCAGATAATCTGCTTCTGTAGTCCTTTCCACTTCGGCTCACAGGATGGGTATGGGGTGCATAATAATTGAACTAAACTAGACCAATCGAAGACTTCATTAACATCAGCTTATAGTTTACAATGACTTCTACAGAGAAAATTTTCATGCTGATTTTTGTATCATCAGCAAAAGGATGATACGAAGCTGTGACTAGAATTTTTGTCTATCAGAGATAGGAATGAGAAATAGCATTGGTGCAAGGACTGTGTCCTGGGGGGGGGGGGGGAGGAGGCGGGGGGAAACAAATGGGCACAGCTTCTTTCACCCTGATGCGCCTGTTCCCCTAGCAGTAAAAAGGTACCTGGGAGCTTGATAGCTGCTTCTTGGGATGTATAAGGAAAAGGAGGCCTGGTCGAGGACCGGGCCGCGGGGACGCAAAGCCCCGAAATCATCGCAAGATAACCTCAAGAGAACCTGGGGTACAGAGTTTTTCCCATGCACTTCGGCTTGATTTTGATTGACTAACTTTCAGCATTCTGTTTAACAGAAAGATGAAAGTCCAACGCCCAAAGTGCACTTTACCCGTTATTCCTATTGAACACATTTTATGGGCTATCTCCCATGTGTCATATTTGTGGAATGCCTTTGCCAAATCTGTGTATAAAACATCTGCATTTTGCTTTTCTTCTAAGGCTTCTGTGATTTTTGTCATAGTGTTGAGTAACTGACAGACAGGATCTGCCCGCTCTAAAGCCATGTTGTCCTGGTTTAGTTCATTATTTTCTATAAAACTAGAAATTTAATTTCCAATCACTCTTTCAAAAACTTGCATTATGTGTTATGTTAGTGCAACTCGTCTATATTTTTTTGCCAAGGCTTTACTACCTCCCTCGTGCAGAAAAACTATATCTGCAGATTTAAGTGCTGCTGGTATCTCCCCTGTATCCAGGCTCTTTCTCCATATTACGCTGAGTGCTCGCGCTACTGGTACTTTACATTTCTTAATGAATATTGAATTCCACGAGTCAGGCCCAGGAGCTGAGTGCATGGGCATATTGTAAATTTCTCTTTCAAAGTCTTCCGAGTTCGTGGTAATATCCGTTATATTATCTGCAGCTTGAATGTCATTCATAAAGAAGCTGTCTGGGTCATCAACTTTCATGTTGTTTATTGGTGTGCTAAACATAGCCTCATACTGGCCTCTTAGAATTTCACTAATCTCTTTGTTGTCCTCTGTGTACGTACCTTCATTTGTAATTAACGGTCCAATACTGGTCGAGGTTTTGGATTTTGATTTTGCGTATGTGAAAAAATATTTTGGATTTTTCCTTATCTCCTGTATAGCTTTCTGTTCCAATTCCATTTCCTCAGACTCATATGATCGCTTCAACGTTTGTTCTATTTCCTCAATCTCCCTGCTTAGGCTTGTTTTCCTTGCTTGTGATAGTTGTGTCTACCGAAGCATTTCCGTTATTTTTTTCCTTCTCCTGTACAGTCGTCTCCGTTCTCTTTCTAGAGTGGTCCTCTTTCTGCCCCTCCTCACAGGCACGTGCTTCAAGCAGACCTTGTAAGCTTCAGCTGTCAGTCGAGCTATTGCCGGTGTGGAGTTTTGTCGCTTACGACCGTCTCCCATTGAATGGTTGCAAGGTCTACATTTATTTTTTCCCAGTCGATCCTCTTATTGTTGAAACTGAATTGATTGAATTTATGATATGAACAAAAGTTTATCATTTCAGGTTCACATAATTAATCAACTGTATTTTACCTTATGTTATTTTTAATTGTTCAGATAAATCATTAATATTAATAATTCATTTAACAGACTTTCTAAAAAGCTTTTATTTATTTCAATTTCTTTCTGTTATAGTATATTTAATTGATAAAGTGAATTCTTGGCTTCACGATGTTTCAGCCTTCAGGTGCTTGTGTCGACTCGGGTATCTGGTCGACCCCCAAGTACCTGGTCGACCCCCAAGTACCTGGTCGACCCCAAGTATCTGGTCGACCCCCCAAGTATCTGGTCGACCCCCCAAGTACCTGGTCGACCCCCAAGTATCTGGTCGACCCCCCCAAGTATCTGGTCGACCCCCAAGTACCTGGTCGACCCCCAAGTATCTGGTCGACCCCCAAGTATCTGGTCGACCCCAAGTATCTGGTCGACCCCCGAAGTATCTGGTCGACCCCCGAAGTATCTGGTTGACCCCCGAAGTATCTGGTCGACCCCCAAGTATCTGGTCGACCCCCAAGTATCTGGTCGACCCCCCAAGTATCTGGTCGACCCCCCAAGTATCTGGTCGACCCCCCAAGTATCTGGTCGACCCCCCAAGTATCTGGTCGACACCAAGTATCTGGTCGACACCCAAGTATCTGGTCGACCCCAAGTACCTGGTCGACCCCAAGTACCTGGTCGACCCCCAAGTATCTGGTCGACCCCCAAGTATCTGGTCGACCCCATGCATAGGGTCGACCCCAAGTATCTGGTCGACCCCAAGTATCTGGTGGACCCCCAAGTATCTGGTCGACCCCCAAGTATCAGGTCGACCCCCAAGTATCAGGTCGACCCCAAGTATCTGGTCGACCCCCCAAGTATCTGGTCGACCCCCCCCCCCAAGTATCTGGTCGACCCCCAAGTATCAGGTCGACCCCAAGTATCTGGTCGACCCCCCAAGTATCTGGTCGACCCCCCAAGTATCTGGTCGACCCCCCCAAGTATCTGGTCGACCCCCCCAAGTATCTGGTCGACCCCCAAGTATCTGGTCGACCCCAAGTATCTGGTCGATCCGAGGAACCCAACTCTTAAATGGCATAACCTTTCTTTTTGTGTCGACCAGTTATCATGCAGGGGGCGCCGCCATGCTGGTTCATGCAGGGGGCGCCGCCATGCTGGTCCATGCAGGGGGCGCCGCCACGCTGGTTCATGCAGGGGGCGCCGCCACGCTGGTTCATGCAGGGGGCGCCGCCATGCTGGTTCATGCAGGGGGCGGCGCCGCCATGCTGGTTCATGCAGGGGGCGCCGCCACGCTGGTTCATGCAGGGGGCGCCGCCACGCTGGTTCATGCAGGGGGCGCCGCCACGCTGGTTCATGCAGGGGGCGCCGCCACGCTGGTTCGTGCAGGGGGCGCCGCCACGCTGGTTTGTGCAGGGGGCGCCGCCACGCTGGTTTGTGCAGGGGGCGCCTCCACGCTGGTTCGTGCGGGGGGCGCCGCCACGCTGGTTCATGCGGGGGGCGCCGCCACGCTGGTTCATGCGGGGGGCGCCGCCACGCTGGTTCCTGCGGGGGGCGCCGCCACGCTGGTTCATGCGGGGGGCGCCGCCACGCTGGTTCATGCGGGGGGCGCCGCCACGCTGGTTCATGCAGGGGGCGCCGCCACGCTGGTTCATGCAGGGGGCGCCGCCACGCTGGTTCATGCAGGGGGCGCCGCCATGCTGGTTCATGCAGGGGGCGCCGCCACGCTGGTTCATGCAGGGGGCGCCGCCACGCTGGTTCATGCAGGGGGCGCCGCCACGCTGGTTCATGCAGGGGGCGCCGCCATGCTGGTTCATGCAGGGGGCGCCGCCACGCTGGTTCATGCAGGGGGCGCCGCCATGCTGGTTCATGCAGGGGGCGCCGCCACGCTGGTTCATGCAGGGGGCGGCGCCGCCAAGCTGGTTCATGCAGGGGGCGCCGCCACGCTGGTTCATGCAGGGGGCGCCGCCACGCTGGTTCATGCAGGGGGCGCCGCCACGCTGGTTCATGCAGGGGGCGCCGCCACGCTGGTTCATGCAGGGGGCGGCGCCGCCATGCTGGTTCATGCGGGGGGCGCCGCCACGCTGGTTCATGCAGGGGGCGCCGCCACGCTGGTTCATGCAGGGGGCGCCGCCACGCTGGTTCATGCAGGGGGCGCCGCCATGCTGGTTCATGCAGAGGGCGGCGCCGCCATGCTGGTTCATGCAGAGGGCGGCGCCGCCATGCTGGTTCATGCGGGGGGCGCCGCCACGCTGGTTCATGCGGGGGGCGCCGCCACGCTGGTTCATGCAGGGGGCGCCGCCACGCTGGTTCATGCAGGGGGCGCCGCCACGCTGGTTCATGCAGGGGGCGCCGCCACGCTGGTTCATGCAGGGGGCGCCGCCACGCTGGTTCATGCAGGGGGCGCCGCCACGCTGGTTCATGCAGGGGGCGCCGCCACGCTGGTTCATGCAGGGGGCGCCGCCACGCTGGTTCATGCAGGGGGCGCCGCCACGCTGGTTCATGCAGGGGGCGCCGCCACGCTGGTTCATGCAGGGGGCGCCGCCACGCTGGTTCATGCAGGGGGCGCCGCCACGCTGGTTCATGCAGGGGGCGCCGCCACGCTGGTTCATGCAGGGGGCGCCGCCACGCTGGTTCATGCAGGGGGCGCCGCCACGCTGGTTCATGCAGGGGGCGCCGCCACGCTGGTTCATGCAGGGGGCGCCGCCACGCTGGTTCATGCAGGGAGCGCCGCCACGCTGGTTCATGCAGGGAGCGCCGCCACGCTGGTTCATGCAGGGGGCGCCGCCACGCTGGTTCATGCAGGGGGCGCCGCCACGCTGGTTCATGCAGGGGGCGCCGCCACGCTGGTTCATGCAGGGGGCGCCGCCACGCTGGTTCATGCAGGAAGCGGCGCCGCCACGCTGGTTCATGCGGGGGGCGCCGCCATGCTGGTTCATGCGGGGGAACGCCGCCACGCTGGTTCATGCAGGGGGCGCCGCCACGCTGGTTCATGCGGGGGGCGCCGCCACGCTGGTTCATGCGGGGGGCGCCGCCACGCTGGTTCATGCGGGGGGCGCCGCCATGCTGGTTCATGCGGGGGGGCGCCGCCGGGGCCGCCTACAGACAGCGCCAGGCGCACATTCATGCACGAGATGCAACAGTGATAAATGACAAGAATTTGTTAACCCCGTCATTAGGAAAACCATGTAAACGTGACTTATCACGCACGCACAGGCGCTAATGTACACACACACACACACACACACACACACACACACACACACACACACACACACACACACACACACACACACACACACACACACACTTGAGAGTCGCACCCTATCTCAAGAACGGCGAAGAAGGTTAGGTAGAGAAATAGAAACAATTGAACTCAAGCTACAAGAATCATACAAAACCCAGGAGAGGCAAAGAGAGCAAAAGGCCATCAGTGAAATAGAAATCCGAAATATTTTTTCTCCTATGCAAAATCAAGATCAAAAACCACATCTAGTATCGGGCCCCTGCGAAAGGGAGATGGAACTTTCACCGATGACAACAAAGAAATGAGCGAGTTACTGAGGAAGCAGTACGACTCTGTTTTCAGCGAGCCATTAAATGCACTAAAGATTGATAACCCAAATGAATTTTTCATGGATATGATACCAACATCAAATCATCAGACGTCGCCCTATCCCCACTAGATTTTGAAGAAGCCATAAACAGTATGCCTATGCACTCTGCACCAGGCCCGGATTCTTGGAACTCCATATTCATCAAGAACTGTAAAAAACCACTATCGCAGGCCCTTCACATTCTGTGGAGACAAAGCCTAGATACTGGCGTTATCCCTGACATACTAAAAACAGCAGAGATAGCACCACTCCATAAAGGAGGAAATAAGGCAGAGGCAAAAAATTACAGACCGATAGCACTCACATCGCACATCATAAAATTTTTTGAGAGAGTGCTAAGAAGTAAGATCACAAAATACATGGAATCACAGCATCTCCATAACCCCGGACAACATGGTTTCAGAACAGGGCGCTCTTGCCTGTCGCAGTTGCTGGACCACTATGATATGGCATTAGATGCTATGGAAGACAAACAAAACGCTGATGTAATTTACACAGATTTCGCAAAAGCTTTTGATAAATGTGACCATGGTGTTATTGCACATAAAATGCGTTCAAAAGGAATTACCGGGAAAATATGCAGATGGATCTACAATTTCCTGACTAACAGAACCCAATGTGTAATAGTCAACAAAATAAAATCCAGCCCATCAACCGTGAAGAGGTCAGTCCCCCAGGGTACTGTGCTTGCTCCAGTACTTTTTCTCATCCTCATATCGGACATAGACCAGAACACAACCTATAGCACTGTATCATCCTTTGCAGATGACACTAGGATCTTCATGAGAGTTGGCAACATAGAGGACACGGCAAACCTCCAATCAGATGTAGATCAGGTCTTTCTATGGGCTACAGAAAATAATATGGGGTTTAACGAGGATAAGTTCCAGCTCATGCGCTACGGAAAAATTGAAAATATAAAAACAGAAACCACGTACAAAACTCAGGCAAATCATAACATAGAACGAAAAGGCAATGTAAAGGATCTGGGTGTACTCATGTCGGAAGACCTTACCTTTAAAGAACACAATAAAGTAGCCGTCACAACTGGAAGAAAAATGACAGGTTGGATAACAAGAACTTTTCACACTAAAGATGCTATACCGATGATGATACTTTTCAAAACGCTTGTGCTCTCTAGAGTGGAGTACTGCTGCACAATGACAGCCCCTTTCAAAGCTGGAGAAATTGCTGACCTGGAGAGCGTGCAGAGATCCTTTACTGCTAGAATCCACTCAGTAAGACATCTAAATTACTGGGACCGACTAAAGAGCCTAAATCTGTACTCCCTTGAGCGCAGGCGGGAGAGATACATAATAATTTACACGTGGAAAATAATTGAGGGGCTGGTCCCAAACCTGCACACAGAAATAACATCACACGAGACCAGAAGACATGGCAGGATGTGCAGAATACCCCCGTTGAAAAGCAGAGGTGCAACAGATACTCTGAGAGAGAACTCTATCAACATTAGAGGCCCGAGACTGTTCAACACGCTTCCACTACACATAAGGGGCATAACTGGCCGACCCCTCACAGTGTTCAAGAGAGAACTGGATAAGCACCTCCAAAGGATACCTGATCAACCAGGCTGTGACTCATACGTCAGGCTGCGAGCAGCCGCGTCTAACAGCCTGGTTGATCAGTCCAGCAACCAGGAGGCCTGGTCGACGACCGGGCCGCGGGGACACTAAGCCCCGGAAGCACCTCAAGGTAACCTCAAGGTAAGGTAGCATGGAACCCGTACCTTGTCAAGCTCAAGACGAAGCTGGAAAAAGTCCAAAGGTATGCTACTAGACTAGTCCCAGAACTAAGAGGCATGAGTTATGAGTTAAGGCTGCGGGAAATGCACCTTACGACACTGGAAGACAGAAGAGTAAGGGGGGACATGATCACAACCTACAAAATCCTCAGGGGAATCGACCGGGTAAACAAGGATGAACTATTCAACACTGGAGGGACGCGAACAAGGGGACACAGGTGGAAACAGAGTACCCAAATGAGCCACAGAGACATTAGAAAGAATTTTTTCAGTGTCAGAGTAGTTAGTAAATGGAATGCATTAGGAAGTGATGTGGTGGAGGCTGACTCCATGCACAGTTTCAAATGTAGATATGATAGAGCCCAGTAGGCTCAGGAACTTGTACATCAGTTGATTGACGGTTGAGAGGCGGGACCAAGGAGCCAGAGCTCAACCCCCGCAAGCACAACTAGGTGAGTACATACACGACCGCTAAAAAGAAAGAGCGAGAGAGAGAGAGAGAGAGGGGGGGGAGGAGTAGGGGGTTGGAGTGGGGGGGACATGATATAGACGTATAAAATACTTAAGAGGAATTGGTAAAGTGGAAAGAGAGAAAATGTTCACAATGAACACCAATAGTACTGGACACACGCCCACCCGCCCTGGACACACGCCCACCCGCCCTGGACACACGCCCACCCGCCCTGGACAAGGACACCCGCCCACCCGCCCTGGACACACGCCCACCCGCCCTGGACACACACCCACCCGCCCTGGACAAAGGACACCCACCTACCCGCCCTGGACACACGCCCACCCGCCCTGGACACACGCCCACCCGCCCTGGACACACGCCCACCCGCCCTGGACACACGCCCACCCGCCCTGGACACACGCCCACCCGCCCTGGACACACACCCACCCGCCCTGGACACACGCCCACCCGCCCTGGACACACGCCCACCCGCCCTGGACAATGGACACCCGCCCACCCGCCCTGGACACACGCCCACTCGCCCTGGACACACACCCACCCGCCCTGGACACACACCCACCCACCCTGGACACACACCCACCCGCCCTGGACAATGGACAATGGACACACGCCCACCCGCCCTGGACATGGACACCCGCCCACCCACCCTGGACACACGCCCACCCGCCCTGGACACACGCCCACCCGCCCTGGACACACGCCCACCCGCCCTGGACACACGCCCACCCGCCCTGGACACACGCCCACCCGCCCTGGACACACACCCACCCGCCCTGGACACACACCCACCCGCCCTGGACACACACCCACCCGCCCTGGACACACACCCACCCGCCCTGGACACACACCCACCCGCCCTGGACACACACCCACCCGCCCTGGACACACACCCACCCGCCCTGGACACACACCCACCCACCCTGGACACACACCCACCCACCCTGGACACACGCCCACCCACCCTGGACACACGCCCACCCACCCTGGACACACGCCCACCACCCTGGACACACGCCCACCCACCCTGGACACACGCCCACCCACCCTGGACACACGCCCACCCGCCCTGGACACACGCCCACCCGCCCTGGACACACGCCCACCCGCCCTGGACACACACCCACCCGCCCTGGACACACACCCACCCACCCTGGACACACGCCCACCACCCTGGACACACGCCCACCACCCTGGACACACACCCACCACCCTGGACACACGCCCACCCACCCTGGACACACGCCCACCCACCCTGGACACACGCCCACCACCCTGGACACACGCCCACCACCCTGGACACACGCCCACCACCCTGGACACACGCCCACCCGCCCTGGACACACGCCCACCCGCCCTGGACACACGCCCACCCGCCCTGGACACACGCCCACCCGCCCTGGACACACGCCCACCCGCCCTGGACACACGCCCACCCACCCTGGACACACACCCACCACCCTGGACACACACCCACCACCCTGGACACACACCCACCCGCCCTGGACACACACCCACCCGCCCTGGACACACACCCACCCGCCCTGGACACACACCCACCCGCCCTGGACACACACCCACCCGCCCTGGACACACACCCACCCGCCCTGGACACACACCCACCCGCCCTGGACACACACCCACCCGCCCTGGACACACACCCACCACCCTGGACACACACCCACCCGCCCTGGACACACACCCACCACCCTGGACACACACCCACCCGCCCTGGACACACCCCCACCACCCTGGACACACACCCACCCGCCCTGGACACACACCCACCCGCCCTGGACACACACCCACCACCCTGGACACACACCCACCCGCCCTGGACACACACCCACCCGCCCTGGACACACACCCACCACCCTGGACACACACCCACCACCCTGGACACACACCCACCACCCTGGACACACACCCACCACCCTGGACACACACCCACCACCCTGGACACACACCCACCACCCTGGACACACACCCACCACCCTGGACACACACCCACCACCCTGGACACACACCCACCCACCCTGGACACACACCCACCCACCCTGGACACACACCCACCCACCCTGGACACACACCCACCCACCCTGGACACACACCCACCACCCTGGACACACACCCACCACCCTGGACACACACCCACCACCCTGGACACACACCCACCCGCCCTGGACACACACCCACCCGCCCTGGACACACACCCACCACCCTGGACACACACCCACCCGCCCTGGACACACACCCACCACCCTGGACACACACCCACCACCCTGGACACACACC